ACCTCAATAGTGAGACAATTATCTGAGTTCTATGGTTGCTATGTCCTTTGTCTTCAATAAAAATAAAAATCTTTAAAGCTTTAATTCCTAAACATTAGAAATAAATATATCTTCAACTTGTCAGTAAAACAGCACTCTAAAATGTTAAATAAGAACTTAGTTTTATCCAGACCAGAAGCACTAAGAGTTTAAAAACAGTTATTTTAAAAATAAAAGTGGGAACAGTCACTCACAGAGGAACATGAGAAGCAGCAAAGACAAGAAGAACAACACAAAAGAAACATCCATCAAGAAAAAGACCTGGAAAAAAACCAAAACTTAGAATTAAAGATCAAATGAGGTTTGGCACAGTGGGGAAAGGGGAAGGGATGAACTAACTAGACAATCCAATGAGTAAGATAGAAACACTAAGACAGCTAAGAAAATAAAATCTGAATGTTGGATTTATATAAAAGATTGGAAATTCACTGAAGATTTAAACCAATCTATGAAGACCTAGGAATTGACACAGCAAACTAAAACTCTGCCAAGAGCCAGCAGAGAAGTACCCAAGGAAATATCCAAACACCCAACTACAGTTTGTTATTAAATATACTAAGTTTTCATATGAATGAATTCAAATAATTTATCAATAAGTAAAAGGAAATAGTAATCCTTTTTCCCTCTAAGTAATATATATGCCTCAGTGACCAGCCGACCAGTCGACCGGCCAGTAGCTATGACACATAATGACCACCGGCAGATGCTCAACACACAGGCATGGAAACATGGAACAGACTGATGAATCTCAGAAGTAAAGGAGGAGAGGGGAGGGCGTAAAGAGATGAACCAAAGTTCTTCTATGCATACTAGAGCTCAGTGCACGAATCGTGCATCAGTGGGGTCCTCGGCCTGACTGCGGGGATCGGGCTGAAAGCAGCTCTCTGACATCCCCCTAAGATTCCTGGATTGTGAGAGGGCACAGTGCACCAGGCCTCTAGTATAAAATAAGCCCTACAGGTTTGGCTCAGAGCAGGGGTGGGCAAACTTTTCGACTCGAGGGCCACAATGGGTTCTTAAACTGGACTGGAGGGCTGGAACAAAAGCATGGATGGAGTGTTTGTGTGAACTAATATAAATTCAAAGTAAACATCATTACATAAAAGGGTACGGTCTTTTTTTTTTTTTAGTTTTATTCATTTCAAACGGGCCGGATCCGGCCCGCGGGCCGTAGTTTGCCCACGGCTGGCTCAGAGGTTGAGCGTCGACCTATGAACCAGGAGGTCACACAGTTCGATTCCTGGTCAGAGCACATGCCCAGGTTGCGGGCTCCATCCCCAGCGTGGGACATGCATGAGGGAACCAATTAATGATTCCCTCTCGTCGTTGATGTTTCTATCTCTCTCTCCCTCTCCCGTCCTCTCTGAAATCAATAAAAATATATTAAATATATAATATACACAATAAAATCATATCTGTGTTAAAAACATGGTGGATGGTGAGCCTACAAAGACACTGAGAAAGAGTTACAATTTAGAAGTGGTAAAACACGCTCAATACTGATAATAATTTTGTTAAAATTGAAGGGATTCAAGTTGTATTGATGAAGGTAAGTATAATTATAATAAGGAGCTGTGCTGCATTATGCTTTTGGAATGTCAAATTACCTGCACTGTGACCCCTGGTACCAAGACAGTGTCTACCACAGTGGTGGCCTGGAAGAATCATGGATCTGACAGTGATGCTGGCCACCGCCCAGGAGCGCCATGAGAGGTGTGCCGACCTCCCCCAGACTCGGCAGAATTTAGCAATAGCCTTTATGCATCTATCTACCCACTTCCCACCTGAGTGACCCTGTCCGACGGAACTGGAAGATTACCTCTCATTGGGACAGGTGAGTGTGCAAATAATGTTTCTGAAAGATGGGAGATTATTTAATGAAGAGCTAGGGAATCCTTTTATCATAATTCACAGTATCTCACTGCTGAGGGCTGAAGAACATTCAACAGTTACCCTACTTCTTCAAACAGAGGAAGAAGAATTACACAAGAAAGGAAGTGGTTTCTTTGTTTCCTTGGAGTGGGCCACTCTCAGTAAGAAAAATAAAGATAATAAAACTATGAAGAATTCCTAAGTGTGATACTCTCCATGGAAAGTCAGGGCCACCTTATGCTGCTAGTGAGCCCGGCGGGAACGGTCTCATGACTGTCTCCCACCCTCCACATCCCTGCCGCTTGGTCAGATAGTAAAGAAAATGAGGATGAAGAGCTGTCAGAGAAACCAGAGCCTCTGCATCGCGGCGAACAGACCGGAGATGCCTGGACAGTCACATACGGCTTCCAGGAGACGGTGCTTAGAGGACCTTCAAGGACAGTTTTGCCTGACCACGTCACACTGTGCAGAAGGGTCAGAGGTTTTTGGAAGGAAATCTCTGTTCACTGGATAATAACGAGATCAGCAGCCTGAAGATTTCCTGGTTAAGAAGAATGAAGGACTGGCCTGGCCAGTGCTGCTAGTCGGTGATAAACAAGGGGAATTTGCAGATTCAGCCCGATGTGGTGCAATAGCGGAACGTTCGCTGCATTTGACCCCTGAAACTCTGAGCTTATCTCTCTCTCGCTCTCTCTCTCTCTCTCTCTCTAGTCCTGCTAAGTTCCTTGCTGCTACCCAACTAACAAAGAAAGCTCTTCATCACCTCCTCTTACTCACTATATACCGAAAAAACATTACCCAGTGGCATTTTCTTAGTCTAATGTGGCCCCTTTCACAGAAGGAATCCATGACAATGTATTCAAGCGTTCCTGTACTGAACAGTTTCTACTCTCAACCCACAACCACTACGATGGTCACGTGAACGGATCGAGTGCCACGCTAGGTCTACCAGTGCTCTCACAGGAGGGGGAAAGGCAAACGCGGATAGATCAGCTTGGATACAGTGCGCACTCTTGATCCCACTATTGAAAACAATGAGATTCCTGTACCACAAAATCTGTTTAATCCAGTATTTCTTAAACATTATAGAACCCACGTAACACACTTTGGGGAAAGGCTCCCAACTCAAAACAGACCCTAACAACCTACAACACTCATGCCTTTGGCCTCTGGAGCCTTTACCAGGAAATGCATTTCTTGGCCTAAGTCAAAATTAATTAGCAACCCAATTATTCAAAGTTGTAACTTTAAAGACACCTGGGTTACTTCTATTCCTATAATAATTTTCAGTAAATTATTAGCTTTGTGCAATATTACCAAATATTACCAAAATACCCTGGCTGGGCATTAATTTCTATACATCTCAATAACTTATTATTGTTATGAAATGTTATCAAAACACATACCTCTTCTCTATAATACATGTCAGAAAAATTCATTTGCATAAAAATTTCCTAGTCATCTGCAGAAGTCAATTTATTAATTTGGTCTTACATCTAACAGAACTCTGGCATCTTGGGCTTAAAAGTTATGTAGATCAGGCCTAATGCAGATGGATCCTAATTTTAGTAATTATGTCTATCAACCAGGCGCACCAAAACCCTGAAGAACAACGGCAGCAAAAATGAGCCATACATAAGTTAGAAAGAAGTCACATCTTTGCAACAAAGTCTTTAGCAGACACTTAACTGCTCTGTATGTCTGGGTGGATATCACATGAGAAACTTTCTTAATTGGAGAACAAGGTAAAAAATTGGTGAAACTCATATGCCAAAGAAGGAAAAAAAGGCAAAAATTTAAAGAGCTCTGGCTGGTTTGGCTCAGGGGACAGAGCGTTGGACTGTGGACTGGAAGGTCCCGGGTTCAATTCCGGTCAGGGGAACATGCTCAGGTTGCAGGATCAGTCCCCAGTGGGGGGTATGCAGGAGGCAGCCAATCAGTAATGCTCTCTCATCATTGGTGTTTCTATATCTCTCTTTCTCTCCCTTCCTCTCTGAAATGAATAAAAATATTAAAAAAAAAAAACTTAAAGAAGAAGCATGAGTTTGAGATTCAATGTTTTTAAAAAGAAACAATGGCCTGGCAGGTGTGGCTCAGAGGTTGAGCATCAACCTATGAACCAGAAGGTCACGGTTCAATTCCCGGTCAGGGCACATGCCCAAGTTGTGGTCTCCATCCCCGGTAGGGGGCGTGCAGGAGGCAGCTGATCAATTTCTCTCTCTCATCATTGATGTTTCTATCTCTCTTCCTTTCTCTCTGAAATCAATTAAAAAATATTTTTAAAAAATTTTTTTTAAATAAACTGATCAGAGCAACTTCAAAGTGTCAAGTTCACACTTCTCTAAGTATTCTGTAAGAGCTGCTCAAATCAATCAGGTCGTAAACAGCAGATTAAAAATGAGTCTTAAGATACGAGAAGTACTACCAATCTGACATTCTGTTGTGGTTGTTTCTGTAAAATTACACCCCACAAAAGTGCTTCCGTCGCCTCTCTTGCTAGTGTATGTAGGACCCAAGTTTCCGATGAGGCAGCAGCGCCCACCGTTCTCATGCTCCTAATGAAGACGCTGTCCTTGGATGTGAGGACAACTGTTCTGCAGAAGAATCACTGTAAGAACCCTCACTGACTTCCCTTTTTGCACAGGAGCTCAGGAATGAAACCAATTTAAGGGCATTTCAGATGAGACCAAAGTAAAAAGGACAATAACCATAAAAGACTCACTTTGACGGCTACCAAAGGAAAACAACGTCAGCCCCACAACGATGCGATTGGGGAGTGGCCAGCAGGCAAGTACTGTCCCCAAGAAAACGTCAATAATAATGAATTTTAATCTTTTGAGTGTAAGGGATTTCACTTGAAAGAGCATAAGACACCAAAGCAAGAAACTCCCAGTTGACCTTGCGACCCCTTTGTCTTTAAATCCTCTCACCAGGTAGCATCCCAGCTACTTGCAGTGAATCACAGCAGGTTCACACACACTCAACTCCGTTAAAAAAGGTAACAAGGACACCTGTGAATCAAATCCCCTCCATACACATCTAGCAGCACAACTGGTCATGAAGACAAATGTCTGAAACAGGAAATACACAGAGTAAAGGTTTCCTCAGCACCGGCTGCTCATGGAGAGCAGCGGGAGCGAGGGAAGCTCTGTGGTCAGAGAACTTACCGTCACGGACTTCAGCGTCATCCCGTGGTAGGTGCCCATCGTGTCAATTTTGAAGCCTTCCGTTTCTATAAAGAAAGAGGGTTTTCTATTAGACTTTATGTATTTCATGATCAATCACAAATCTAAAGTAATAATCCATAATATATCTTAACAGGTCAACAGTATAATAAAACCTTGAATCTACCGTACACATAAAGTTAAACCACACACTTCTGAAGATAAAAATTTATAAGGGTACTAGTCTCAAAAATATATTCAATACACACCCAGTATGCAGAAGCTGGTTAACACTATGTCTACAACTGTGTTCAATACTCATATTGGTTGAAAGTATCAAAAATTTAGATTGAGCCCACAGGCATGGCTCAGTGGTTGAGCATCAACCTATGAACCAGGAGGTCATGGTTTGATTCCTAGTCAGGGCACATGCCCAGGTTGCCAGTTCAATCCTTAGTAGGGGGTGTACAGGAGGCAGCCAATCATTGATTCTCTCTCATCATTGATGTTTCTCTCTTTCTCTCTTTCTCTCTCTTACTCTCTCTCTCAAATCAATAAAAATATATTTTTTAAAAATTAGATTGAATAAAATACTTTATAATTTAACCCCCAAGTTATTTACAACTAACATTATAGCACCACTAAAAGCACCTACTATCGTAAGAAGTCCTTAACATATAGAAAAAGTCATGTTCAAAGATGACAATGATTAGGTATGTACACTGTGGAAAAGCAATGCTGTAAACAGATAAGGGTTCCAGGGCAGGGTCTCAATATGCCTTTCTGTAAAGCGCCACATACTACACATGTTACACACTGCAAGCCAAACAGTCGCTGTCACACCAGTGACTTCTGCAGTGTGGTGGCAGAAGCGAGATAAACGAGGGTCAGAGATGGTCTGTGGGCGGTAATCTGCCAACCCCTAGAGTGCACATTATTCATTCCACAAGAAAAGCATCGCAGCGAATACAAGAATGGACCAGTCTACACCCTGTATTTAGTACATGCCTTTGTCCAGTAAAGGAAGTCAACACACAAAATTCACTGCATCAAGGTAACACATCCTTTAATGAAACATAGAGGTTTCAGATGATACAGAAAAAAATGACAAATGTTAAACTTCCAGGTGCTACTACCTCATTTTTTCATGTATCAAGTCAAGATAAACGAGCAGTTATTTCAACATTAGTCCCACTTACTACCCACCTCACTAGCATGGCCTGACCCTGCCGAGTTAGCCAGTACCCCACGTGGGCTTCCACAAAACACAACCTCAGACGCTGACCAATCCCGGCCTCCCAAGCGCTCATTGTACACATTCATAATCCGGGGAACATGACTGATGGAGAACCGCCCTCTAAAATCAACTTCTGAGAAGCAGCACTAGCCCTACTAGCCAATATAATATATATATTACGGTTAATTACATACCAGTCATGGACTCCATGGACTTTATATTACCCAGTTCAATCCCCACAGCAGCTCTGAGAGGCAGGCACTGCACTGCCACTGCTATTAGTACCGCCATGTCACAAGGGGGGAAACCGAGACACACGCAGTTAAAGTCACTTCTCAAAACTCACACACAAAGTGACTGACAGAAGCAATCTGGGTCCAGAATCCATGCACTGAAGCAGCGGACGCAAACACATTCTGTAAAACCAGATGGTGTCTCTAGGCTTTGCCGACCACGCAAACCCTGTCACCACTCGCTGCCGCTGCCACAGCACCCAGGAGCCATGAGCAGCACAGAACGGAGGAGCGTGGCCGCTGCAGATGGGGCCGGCCAACTGCGGCTCCAGCGTCAGGCCACCTGCCTCTCACGTGGAGCACAACCAGGAAAAGAAAGATAAACACCAAGTCACTTGCCTTCTTTTCCTTTGAATCTTTCCTGGTCATATCTGTTGTAGGCAGCTGGGATAGGCTGTTTGGTACGCAATGTGGGGTCCTGTAGAAAAATTAACCATGATTCACATGTTAAGTCTATTGTTACTTAATAATCATAAAAACCACAATAATATTGTCTTCTAAGCTTTATTCTTACCATAGCCAACAAGACAAAAGTGGGGAGGAGACAAAATGAATCATTGATGCTTATTTTCAAGATACTGTTTATGACCAGAAAACCGCCACCCTGTCAGGGCAAAGGACTCTAAGTAAATGTGCACCAGGGCAGAAAGCAAAGCTTCTTAGAGATGCAGAAACAAGATGGCGTGTGCTTAGGACTTTCCTCCCAACTCCTTACATCTCTTAATGAAGTAGTAAGCTTCCTCCAATTATGAACTGTTTCTTTAACAAAAAAAACCCACACACCCTTTTAATTCAAAGTTTATGGAGCTGGCATTTTATAGCCTGTTAACTGAATTATTCTCCAAATTGTTAATCTTTAAATGAATATAATGACAATGACAACTGTAACAACAATCCTATATAATAAAAGGCTAATATGCAAATCGAGTGACCGGTCTTTCTGCTGTTCTGTCAATTTGCATATTAGCCTTTTATTACATAGCAGCGGTTCTCAACCTATGGGTCTCGACCCCTTTGGCAGTCGAATGACCCTTTCACAGGGATTGCCTAAGACCATCCTGCATATCAGATATTTCCATGACGATTCATAACAGTAGCAACATGACAGTGATGAAGTAGCCACGAAAATAATTTTATGGTTGGGTCACAACAGGAGGAACTTTATTTAAAGGGCCAGAAGGTTGAGAACCACTGTTATGGAACACTCTTCACCAGGATCAGGATGATCCCTGTGATATTCTAATGGAGACCGCCTTCCAGGTAGGCACATGACTGTTTAACTATTATTCACTGACCTATCAACCAATTTCAAAGCCCAACCAGGAAGAAATAAGATTACTTTGTTATGAGAGTCAACACAGGTATGTCTCCAGGCAAGAATTACTGCTCAAGTAACGTCTAATGGTGAGAAGGATTTTCACATCCTTTAGATATGTTGAAGCTGCATAAGGTTTAGAAACTACTAACTGAAAACCTCTGATTACATGTCTTCAAAATTATAATCCTGGAAACCAAGCGTCATTTTCAATAAAACCACAGCGTCGGCAGTAAACCATTCTTACCACTGGTGCTGCATTGGGGGCCGGCCGCTGCTCAGGCGCACGCCCTTCCTCTCTGGCTTTCACAGACTGAAGAATTGCAAAAATATTCTTGGAAAAGTTCTAAAATAAAACAAGACAGGTGTGTTGTCAAGAGAGGATTAATTCTGAATCAACTACTACAACAATCCCCTCATCCTCAGGGGACATGTTCCAGAACTCCAGTGGATGCCGGAAACCGCACAGAGTGTAAAACCCTAATCATCTCTTCAGCTCCGCCAGAAACGCGCAGCGGCTTCCTCACTGGCAGGCACAGCTTCTCCAGGACTTTAAAAAAAACAACTTAATTGTTGAAAGCAGTACGTATGCCCCGCCCCATTTTTTCTTAAATATAGTTTTAATTGATTCTTATTTTTTACTTTCCTAATTTAATTATTTTTTTAAGCTCCAGTAATTTTTATATTTTTCCGTCCAAACCTATTCTTGGACTGTGTAACCATCCCTTACTCGCAGTAAATGGCTTGACGTCACTCATTCCAGGGGATCCCTGGCTGAAACCTCAATGCTTTCTGGAGCAGCCCTTTGTCTGAAAAACTATTTTCCAAAATGCACAAAAGTAAGGACAAGAAAGAGCAGCACTATTTAAAATTTTTGCAAGGCTCAATGTCTGGCTTAATAGAAGAGAACTGTATTTCTACAGTTAATAGCTGTTTTATCTTGTTTGGTTTTGGTCTAAGTATATAAAAGGAAATCTGGCCTCACACAGACAACTGGAGGAGGAGTATTACAATAGCTTTTCAAGGGACTGGATTTTCTCTGACATCACGCCAAACCACATAAATATCTCATCACAGCCATCATCAGTGGCAAAAACACATGGCCAGCCGCTAGCAGAGCGGTGCCAATGCCTGTTCATGCCAAGAGGCCAGCAGTGCACCAGGTCCCCCATTCACACCGACAGTGCAAAGGTCAACACAGTGACAAATGCAAATGAAGTCTTAATCCAAACTTACTATCAAGTGATGAAAATCCATTCTCACTACTGTAAATATAGTATAGTATTGTGTGAGAGACAGAGTCTGAAAAAAATCAGTCAAAATGTTAGTTATCAGCTATTTTTGTATGGCGGAAATAATCTCTTTTTGTCAATTTTTCAGCAATGAACACATACCAATTTACACACGTTTAAAAATGTGTTTTTAATGGCATTATAAAATCTGGTTGCTTTATGTGGCCTGAAATGACCATAAAAGTACATACTTACTATTTCCTATGGACTCTTCAACCTATCTTTTATTCCAAAAACCCAGAAAAAAGGGTCTAAAATCTTTGGGTTTTGTACGGTTATGAGTACCTAGAAAGTTTTTGAGTTTAGCAGGAAAAAAACAGTATACAGAGAAAGAACCAGTCAAAATAGTTCTTATTTTAAAAATGGTAAAACAGAAGCAAACCTAGCTACCAAGCAATTCTTCAATTAAACTGTTTCTCAAACTGTAACAGTGGTACCAACACTAAATTAAAACACTAAGTTTTCAAATGATGGTACAATCCTGCCACCTAGAGCTCAATAAAAATTGTTCATCTCAGTTATCTGAAAACGTAATGTTTGGTCTAAAAGGAAGGTGGGGCATATCACCTATGTTTCATTCCATTACTGTAAGATTCAGATTTTTCAGCAGTTATAATAAATGTTGGTAGAACAATGTAAGGCACAATATTCAACTATGAGCCCCACCTTCGGCAGTAAGAGGGAGCATTAAACAGATCATTTACTGTAAACACACAGCGGAAGTTTACTCCCGCTGGATTATGGATTGCTTCTCCATAATCCAAGGTCTGGGGAACGAGTCCTAGTCCTGAGTTCAAGTGCTCTGCACAAGTCAGAGCACAAGTCCTTCCTTCCCATTCTCTTTCCTAGCAGCTGTATTCCTGCTCCAATGGTGGAGGGAAAGTGAGGCCAGAACCCAACATCTGCAAATGAAACTCCCATGAGAGTCAGTAATCTCACACTTCTACAAACCTTCTTACCACACATCATTACTAACAACTGGGCATCAGTGGAGAACGAACATTTAGAAGAACACTGGGCGGTGGGGGGGAAATGACAGCTGAAACTATGGAGCCCCCTAAGATACAAACACACTCAGCATCTTTCAGAGTTTAAAGCACGCATCTCCTTCAACCAGCAATTTGCTTCTGGAGTTGAAACTTGTGCTGTATGCACATGAATGCAGAATGTTTTTTAATGCATTATTTGTAATCCTGAATAGGAAGGGGGGAAAAGAAAGGAGAAGAGAGAGGGGGACAAAAATCCCACAATCCAGCAGCAAAAAAATACAAAAACAAAAACAAAACAAAAAATAGCCCTTGCCAGTTTGGCTCCGTGGATAGAGCATCTGTCTGAGGACTGAAGAGTCCCAGGTTCGATTCCAGTCAAGGGCACGTACCTGGGTTGCAGGCTCCCAGCCTTGGTCGGGAGCATGTGGGAGGCAACCAATCAACGTCTCTCTCTCTCACATCAGTGTTTCTCTCTGTCTCTCCCTCTCCCTTCCACTCTCTCTAAAAAGCAATAGAAAAAATATCCTCAGGTGAGGATTAAAAAACAAAATGACTCCATTAATAAGGAACAAATGAATATTGCTATATCCACAAACCAGAATATAATATATCAAATACATGCAACAAATGTTCACTGACTGATTTTCCCAAGTTCTCTACTTTGTGGAGATAAAAATTAATAAACAACCAGAGAGCTTGACATCAATATTCCCTGTTCACTGGGTTTACCCAAAAATCTGGTCAACAGGAAAAGCGGACCCCTCCTGGGATTGACAAATGAGGGCAAATCAAGACAACTTTCTCATCAGCTTCTTTGGTGGCCACCAACCCACCCCAGGGCAGACTACAATGGCTAATACGCCACCTAGAAACCCACCTTATCCTGATCCTTCAGAGGTGAGCGTGACCCTCCCAGAGCGAACCTGAACCACTTTTATAAGCAACCACAGTTCAGTCCGCACTCAGTGCACAAACATGTCAACCCTCTCACCTTCCCCGTGCTCTGCAGGATAGTGGTCCGCGTCCTCCACACTCTCTCTCTGCTGACAATATCCCGGGTCACATCTACCTCCGCGTCCACAAAACTCCTCTGTTTAAGAGCAGTTATGTCATCATCTAAGTCGGTCTTGATGGTAGATCTTTTCTTGGCCATAATTTTGGCTTTGATTGCCGCAATTTTTTCCACCGACATAGCTTCAGACAAAGACCTGAAAGCAATTCATTTTTTAAAATTTTCACAGCAAGGATCTCTTGAGCACATCAAAATACACTGGGTTACATTTGTAAGTTCACGGCAAAAATACTTTAAGTGGCAATAATTAGGTTTTCTTCTTATCTATAAAATGACATACTTGATATTTTATGTTCACATAAGATTTTATAGTGAGCCCCTGTAGAAA